ACAAAGGTTGGGATGTCTGAGCAGTAGCCCTCCTATCACTACCCACCCCGCTTGATGAAATGGGCAGCGCGGTCCTGATTATCCTGCGCGACGACCGATGCAATATGAAATTATTTTTTATTTGTGTATTCATTGGAGCTTTATGGACGGGTACTGCCAGGGTATCCAGCCACTAAGCAGGTAAAACGATTAGGGTTTTCAACCAAAGCCTTTCGTTTTGACAAAAACCTAACCGCAAGGCAGCGGTTAAGGCGGATTGGAGGCCCATTGGCTTGGATTAATTATTCCTCCAACACGTTTTATCGATTGAGACGCCGACTCAAGTCAAACCCCCAACCTGGAGGACCAGGAAACTGGACTTCGTATGACCTCTACCCATTGACCTTCCAGGCATGATTAGATCTTTGGCTCGATAAAAGCCATCCTGTGTAGCTCATTGGGTCATAGAGGTGCACAAGCCATCACACCACGTCAAGGTGCAGTCTCGTCGTGAACGCAGAATCAATAAACTGGATCTTACTTGAATGTTTCCCTACTCTTCCTTTAACAGTGTGCTATTTATTCTTGGGGATTTCCCCTTTCACTGTAATTTCCATTGTGTAATTTAAAACATATCGGAACCGTAAAGCAGAACTGGTCGCAAAGTGGACACAACGTTTCAACTTCAAGGAAATGCCTAGTCATGTCAATAGTAGCTTTACGCACCCGGATTGGCGAATCTTCAGCATTTTAAACCATATTTGCGGGTGTAAATTTTACAAAATCAGGCAAAATGAGATTAAAATTACTAAACGCAGACTTTCAATGAAGCAAAGAACCATGTAATTATGTGTACACTTTCTCCGTATTAACAAGAAGACGTGGAAGATACGGCAAAATAGACTTACGATAGAAGTACGTGTTAACACAAGTTAGGATACCAAGTGGTGGATGATGAAGATAAAGTTTTTGAAAGTTTGTTGTCCAATAGATGATGAGTGTCTGAATGTAATTTAAAATATAATTTTGAAGGGTAATTAGGTTTTTGTCCATGAATGAGTTCGAAAGTGTCCCGAGCGATGATACTGCATTTAGAGATGTGTCTTAGAGAATTTGTTAGCAAGTGAAAGTGAAAAAGATGACAGCTTTCTGTATACTGTATACAATGTCCTGGGGGTCATTGTAACTTACATTATAGCGCGACGCCAATCATCATTATCGTACAGCGAAGTACAGAGAAGCAAACTTCACAGATCGCTGCCAAACTCGTAATGCATATGCATTGGGGTTTGATGGACGGGTGCTGCTGGAGTGTCCAGCCACTAAGCAGGAGTGACGCCAAAATATTTTACCACTGTTGATGTCGGTATAGGTTCACGATTAGCAGAAGGGGTAAGAGACCTATTTGTGAGGGCTCCATGTTGTTCGACGATCAACGGGGAAAACATCCAAAAATTGAAGCATACAGTGAAAACGAACAGGCAGGGACTGATTCACATCTTTCCTTGTTTCCTTTCTCAAAATAGGTCCAATTAATGTCTATTTTGCATATTATCACTAACCTCGTATGCATTGTGAGTTTGGCAGCAATCAGTGAAATTCGATTCACTGTATTTAGTTGTACGATGAGGATGACGAAGCATTTAGCTTGCTTTGAATTTCTAAAGATTCGTGAGAGGTCGGTGGTTCATTTTAGTTCAATTCTTACAACCATTGCCCTTCACTTTCGTGCGTCGGTTTTGGTCGCTGTCTGTTGGTTGCCCATTCGGATAACAGAGTAGAATGAAGACTAGAATGTTGATAGTAAATTCAAGCGTAAGATATCGAATTTACATGGACTGATTTTAAGAGAATAATGAGTAGACGCATGAGCGCCACTGTTTGCGACATCCAACCGTATCACTGTCTCTAATCATCGGTGACCGTCATCTCAGGGTCCCAAGCCAGGGAGTCTAACGGGACCTATGTGACCCAGTGTCCTGGTTAATGTTTCCATATCCTCATGCCAGGTCTTGGTGGGACCACCCCTAACCCTTTTCCATTCGTTATCTGCCTCGGCAACCTATCTGGTGACATGCGTAACACATACCCCATCCAACGTATTTTATGCAGGGCGACCGCGATTACCTAAAAATCTACGCCTAACCTCAGAATTGCTCATCCGGCTGCCCCACCAGGCTCGTGCAATGATAAGTACATAACGGTGTTTGAACACCGATAATCTATTTTACCTGTTCCCGTAATGGCTAAGTCTCTGCACCGTAAAGCAAAATTGGCCGAACAACTGCATTATATACTCGACTCTTCACGGGCAGCCGGACTTCGCGATGGCGCCAAAGATGTATCAAGTTGGCAATTGCCAACCGAGCCTTCTGTATACCAGCTGACACCTCATCCGTGATGCGTCCACCGGATGAGATATAGCTGCCCAAATAACAAAACCTATCCGCTTAGTCTATTAATTCCTCGCCATTTTACCGACCGACGCCAACTCACTTGTCTCAATGGTATTATGTCTTCCACTCGCACTGTAAACCAAGGTGCAATGCAGGGTGCCATTTTATCCCCTTTTCGATTCTCCTTTTATATCCAAAACTTGTCAGTCATCCCAAACGTTCTCATATTTAAATATTCCCATGATATAGTAGCTGGTGGTGCACCTCACGACAACAACTCTTCAACGCACCCCATCTGATTCGCAATAAGTTCCATTTCTGAATGATCCGATGGTGCTAGTTCTTCTTTAAACCCGAACAAATGCATTGAAGTTTTGTTTTTCATTAACCATTGGCCATGAACACTTTCTGGGTCATCTGTTCCCAACATCCTAATCAACAACTTAAAAGTTGAAAAGTCACAGCACTTCAAATATCTTAGATGTTTTCTGTCTGCTGACCGCAAATGGTCATATCACGTAGAATAAAAAGTTCTTAAAGTCAGAAAGTTGACCTGTCATATCTCATGCCTTCGACATCTGAGGGTGCCATTAGATCATTTCTAAATTTATTTTCTCGTGCGTTTTATGCCATTGGACCTACTGTTATCCTGTTATATCTCCCGTTGTATTGTCTAAGGATTTCATATTGATCAGACGCTCTCTGAAAAGCATCTCTAGAAATGAAGCAGGTTAATTCTACTGTCAACCAACACCTTAAGGCGTGTGACCGTCTGTGTGACTCTAGCTTGTCCGATGAATCACATCCTTTACACTCAACCCTATCTTGCTCCATTTCGAATTCTGTCAACCCCAATAAATTTAAACCTTAATATACTCGTACCACTGCTTTCCACAACTTCGTTGTACCCTACCTTTCACGTTTGTTGTTTTTAATGGAACGAATATCAAAGGAACTAATACACAGTCTCATATAAACCTTCATGATGAAATGTTTCTCCATTTGCTGCACCGTCTCAGGTTCTATTTATTATCGTCTATAGAACCATTTGTCATATCGTTAAACTCATTTTTAATAACGTGTATGCCAGAGCCAAATTGATGACATTTTTATCACTAAAAATTCTGTCTACATTAAATGAATAGAGGGCACTCTTGATTTGACTCGTTAGAGGGAGGTTGGGTGATGGACCACCCCAATATTGTAGCAACATTTTACTCTTTGAAGGTGCAAAACACATACCGAACATGGCTACGCTAGCACTAAAACTATCCAGAAAAGCTGGCCTTAGCCTGGGCAGCCTAACAGTATTCTGCCCACATGCAAATCATGGAACGTCTATCTTTTTCACAAAGAATATTGTACTGTGATTTGCTTGGCACACAGTCTGGATTCAGACGTGTGTTAAAAAAATATAATATATCCAAAAAAGCTTGCAACTTACCTGGATCTTCAATTAGTAGCACGTCGTCTGCATACTCTAGATCAGACAGTCTACCACCTGAGAGTAAATCGATACCGCTATCCTCGGATTAAATAATATGACAAAGTTAAATAGAAACGGGGAAAGAGGGCAACCCTGTCGAACACCAGACCGTGGTGAATTCGGGTGAAAAAGTGACATAAGCTCGGACTCAGTTTCGGCCATTATTATAGAGGGATTGTAATATTGAATTAAATTTCTCGGGCACACCCTTCAGTGAAAGGCAGCACCAGAGTCTAGAGTGGTCAATTGGGTCAAAAGCCAGTTTCAGATCGAGGAACATAGAGATAGTGGGTGTACAAAAAGTGTCTGTGTTCTAGGATTCGACGAAGAGTGGAGTTGCGGAGACAGCCCGTCGGGGCCAGAATCTTGATACCTTTAAAGATAATTTATTTCTAGGATAACCGCCCTTTCAGATGGAGGAATGGCACCAAATGGGAGTATTTGCCTAGTCGAGGTAGGGGGAAGACGGTCAGATATCTACGGGGTACAGTCGAAATAAAAATCGATATGTCCAGCTAACTGTCTAGTGTTTGTCATGGAGTAGATGGGGTGGTATATTCTGTTTATATTACAACTTCATTTCTTACTAGGTCGTAAAACATCCAGTTAGATAGTTAACCTAATTAGAATGTGAGAATTTCAACCTTGAGGCTAAACGACNTTCGAAATGCGCTCTGAGTCGGCAGAATGAATAATAATGATGCAGGAAAGGAGGATTTAACCATAAGTCTGAAAATCAGCATTACAGGCAGTGATTTGTATTCAATTAAGAAGCTCACCGAATTTTGCCAATGATAATAAAAATAATCAAACTTTGACTGCAGATGTATGCGGTTGTTGAGTTCATTCAAGAGGAGTATGTTGCCTTGATGCCCAAGAATTGGTTGATTGGGACCAATCTAACTTTTTGGCCAAAAATGGTCAATAACAAAACTAAGAAGTTGAAGTTGTGTCAACCTCCTCCAGTACAGTCGGCGATGCACAAAATCCGTGTGCATAGAATTGCTGGTAAGTATACATGGTATAACTTTTGAAGACGACTATGCCGAGGCATTACGACTGGAGAATCTATCGAAGGAGCAATCAGGGTTACAATCGACAGATGCCACAGTAGCCATGAAAGGATATGGCGTCATACATACTATGAGTTAATGGAAATTAAACAATTTTTCGGTCAAATATTTGTTTACAAAAATGCTGTCGAACACCAGAGCGACGAGGGCCGGAGCCTGCACCCCGGACATAATGCGGTTATTGATTTTGGAATAAATTCGTGAGCATCAAATAGAGGGGTGTGAATGACAAGGCAGCCTAAAGGGTGGTAAGACGGCCAGTCTTATTATCGATAAACAAATGAATTGCTTTTGACACCTGCCCAAACAGACGCTTTGATGCGACAACTTCCAGGATGGAAGTATCAAGTACGTCACAGTGAGGATACAGAGATGAATCCAACGTGGTCGTTCTACGATATCAGCGAAACACCTCCAATAAGTAAGTCAATCCATGAGTAAATTACAATGCTCTGCGATATGAATGCTTGTTAACTGCTATACTTACCCGAATTCTTAATCTTATTTAATTTTATATTTCACACTTGTCTGAGGACAGACTGTGTGCCAAACACATCATGGTACAAT